ACGGACTGCAATAGAAAGAACTTCTTGTTTCCCAGACTGGCTGCAGCCAGATACAACATTTGGTAGCACAGTGAACGCACTTAATCAGTGTCCTCTCTGGTTTGCCTAGGACAATTGCTCTAATTACTGGCCTTTCTTTTGAGGGCCTAACTAGCTGAGCACTGGCCTAGGAGTCAATAAATGGGGGTTCTGATCCCATAGCAGTGTCAGTTTGTATCTGCTGTGCTGTCCTTGAAGGGCACGTGCAGCAGTGACCTGCTTTGAGAACATGTAAAAAGCACTCGCAGAAGAATTAGGAATTACTGTGAGATAAGGACAAGGAGCACAAACTCCACAAAACCACGGGGCTTTTATACTCCTGCCTTTTGCCATTTCCATGAGCTGGAATATGTAAGCTCTTGTACTGGAGGATCAATGCAAGTCTGAACTGCTGTTTTTAATTAGCAGAGAGTAAAAAGCCATGTTTTTAAAGAACTCTCTAAATAGGAAAGGAAAAAATGTTTTCAGGCAGCTGTTGTCTTTATTCTGCTCTCCTGGGAGTGACACCCCCCCATCCTTTATGTTCCTTTAGACCTGCTAATTAAGCAGCTCCCTGTATCTGCAGGTCAGTTGATCAGCTAATGAACTCCCTGCAGGCTTCAATGCATCATGTCCCGAAGAATAAATAGGAAAAGGCAAAAAAGCCCTTGGGCATCCAACTGGATCCTGAGCTGAACTGTCCATGGGGCCTTTTCTGAGCAGTACTGAAAGCAGGCACATGAGACAAAAAAACAACAGCCCCCGAGTTTGTTATCCTGGGGTGTGCTAGGGTTGTTGGGTATATGGCCTGGCTTCTGCAGGGGTGAGACTATTAGCCAGGGGAGCTTCCCAGCTTGCCATCATTCAGCTGAGGACTAAAAATACTGGTGGGTGCAAAGTGGCTGATGTTACCTAATGCTCTAAATGCCAAACACCTGCCTCCAGCTGGGCTTTAATGGGTGAGAACAAAAGTGGCAGTAGGGCTTTGTATGCTGAGCATCCTAGCAGGAGCTGGGAATGGGCAAGCACTTTAATGGAAGGACACAGGGGACAGGACTTCTCCATTCTGGGTGAGCACCTGAATTACCCCAATTGCTGCACAGTCTGGGATAGCTTTTGCTCTCTTTCTCTAGCTGTATCATCCAGGATCTTTGAAATGTAACTGGCAAGAACTTTGTCAAACTGATTAATTTCAATGAACTGTTCTGTTTCCAGCTTCCCACTCCCCTCTCATTTTGATGCTTATCTTTAACAAACTTCTTAACACCCTGAAAAGCATGAGCAGAGCCCACAGGTTAGGTAACTTGCGGAACAAGTTGTTAGCAGAGTCAAGTGCTCACCCTTGTTTGGTTGGTGTTTTTTTTTTTTTGCTTCCATTTCTGCATCTAGGTCATAGAATTCATCCCAGCTGTCCTGGAATATGTTAGAGTAGGCAACAGTCACTGCCAGAGTGGATTTGGGAATCGGGACCAGCTAGAAGCTGACAAATACTCCAGAATATGTGCTCTTTTCTATTTCATCTTACTAATCTGCCTCCCTTTATACCTGCTCTGGTTTCAAGGGTGTGTTCCCATTTAATGACTTGTCCTAAGACTTGTCTTGCCCTTCTAGCTTGTCTGTCCTCCTCCATCTCAAGGTGAAAATTGTGTGGCAACTCAGTGACATTGCCTTCTCCTTTCACTGCTTGTGACAAAGTGTGGTGGGCCTGGAGTCCAGTCTTGCCTTGGCAGCCCAAAAGGATGCACCGTCAATGCACCATTTGTCAGGCAGGCCTGCAATGACACCTGGTGTTCAGTTTAGGAAAGCACTGATTGTTCTCTTGCCCTGCTCCGGCCTTGTGAGAATTCAGATGCCAATAGGCTGGCTGAAGGGCGAAGTAGAGATTCTTGTTTCTAGATCTGCTGAGAGGACCAGGACAGCTTGTTATCCAAACTGTATCCCATGTAACTCAACAGTATGGCAGGTGCAGGATGACTAAAATAATCTGTACAATCTTTACGGAAATGAGGTGTAACCTTTGAGTGATGCTCAGGGAAGGCCATGGAGAAACTGACTGTGCGTGTCAAACTTTAAAATGTTGTTATCCCTACAGAATTTGTCTAGGTGAAGGTGCCTTTGACCAGGCTGAAATCCACTACCCCATCATAGACTAAACTTGAGACTTTGTATTAGTCTGATCCAGACACAGGTTTTCAGTCCAGGAAATGTTTCATCTTACCAAAAGTCAGTCTCAGAGTTAAGCCAGCCAACCTAGTACAGCATCAGCCTTCATCCGCTCCAAGCCATGTGGTATATTAGGCATAGACAATCCCAAAATCTTTGGAAACCAAGCCATCATATCAAAGCATCGGCCATATCCATAGAAAGCAGCTCATCACTTCCTCCTTCCTCTCTGGAGAGGGATTGTTCAGAGTTGAACCAAAGCGTGTTTCATTAATAAACTCTAATTGCCGTCTATCATCAAGCACACAGGGCCACTTTCTACTATTTTCTAAATTAAAAATCCACACTGAAGCCTCTGAAGAGATGAAGATCAGAACAGGCTCAATTTTCCATGCAAATATATTGCCTCTGATCTTGACCCAGGATTTTCATAACAATTAGAGGCAGCGTGGGGCTCCGAGCTGCCCTGCGGTACCCAGCTGTCCCTCTCCCTCTGCCCGGTGCCGTTCCTTTCATGCCGGCTTGTGAGGGGATATGTGCACCTGAGGCATTTTCTTTCGCTGACTTGAAAGTCATGACTCTTCAACAACATTTGCCTCTGTTCCCCCTTTCGTGGTTTGTTTTTTCCATATTTGATCCCACTTGCTGAGTGCTGACAGGAACCAGATGAAAGGATTCCAGCCTTTCAGTATCCATACTGGGCATCAACCTAGATTTATGTATGTGGGTTTCAGTACATGTGATTTTGTGTTTGTTTAAGGCTGTGTGAGCATGCCTGTGGAGCATCCGCACATCTCCAGCAATACCATCATCAGGTATTAAAAAACCAAACACACCACCATCCCCTTGGAATCAAGAGGCTGACTTTAAAAAGAGAGGGTTTGGGGTTTTTTTTGAAGTCTTTGCTTTGTATTCCTCATGGCTTTCTATGATGCAGCTTGCTGTAAAGTGATTTACATTTGTAAAGTATTGAAGCAACTTACCAGGTACCTTAAGGGGAAGATCTTAACCACACGCTTGCAGGTATCTTTTTTAACAGAAATGCAGTTGTATTTGCACCCGTGTAAATACTCTGTGTAGACAGGTTTGGAGATCTGGGGAGGTGGGAAGGGAAGATGTGCTTGAGATGAGCAAAATATCTTTTCATAAGTTGTGAGACTGGAGTGACCATTGTGATGACTGGGTCAAAATCTTGCATTAGCTGAACCACTGAATTTGTTTGAAATACTTCTTGCTTGAAGTACTGAATATATTTTTAGAACAACACCTCATCGTGATTCATAAGACACTAGTGATAGAGTTAGTCCTGTGGTTCATTCATGTAGAATCATGCATATTACATTTATCGTGAACATTCCAACCTCCAGTTTTGGCTTACTTCTCTGCAAGACCGCGTAGTTTTTCAGCTGACCTTCAGAGATCCCCAGCTCCTGAGAGCAAGCACGTTAACCTGACCACCTCAGGCTAAGCTTGCTTTACCCAGAGCCACACAGACACTCCTACAGTGACTGAGCTGAGCTGATTCAAAGGAGCAGCTCTTGGCTTTCATTCTGTAAGGAGACAACTTACATGGGGCTTTTCAGTTGTTCTTATTAGTCTGGTGAATGACAAAGACACCCTGACCAGCTTCCTTTGAAGTTCATAAAACTACATTTATTTATTTAAAAAAAAAAAAAATTAAAACCAAAGACCGCATGCAGCTTTCCAAGCTTGACTTCCTCTTAGATATCTGTATTTTTCTGGCCTTTTGCAACCATTAAGCTTTGCCTCCCTTAATAAGAACTTTAATCTGGTAAGATCTTTCTCTTACGCAGTAGTAATACTCTACATGAACCTGTCAGCTGGGAGAGGAGACCCTCTCCCCCACACTTGTACTCTGTTCCCTTCCAAATGCTTCCCTCGCTCTGAAATTGCTCAAAGAAGGTGGATGACAGGATAGGGTTGATGACAACGAATATCTGCAGTCCACTTACAAATGAATTGAACACCGTGTGGAGCTGCTAGCTGTCAGTGTCAGGAAGTAATTCAGTTTGCTTTGATTTCTCTGACTCATACACAGAGGATGAATTTACTATGCTCTGCTCATCACTCCAAAGGCGTCTTTTCCTTCAACAAGGAAAGAAAAGCAAATCGTAATTTGATGTGAGAAATAGCTTGTCCTTCTAATGTCTTCCATACAGCTAGACTGCATCTTTGTCTTGCCATCAACCCCCTTGGTGATTGGATAAGGGAAAAAATACGTGTATGGGGGGGAGATTTCTCTGTAGTGGAGAAGAGCTGGAAAGACAAAGAGCTGCAGATGCTTAATAGAAGTAATTTAATATTATTCCCACTTCATTTGTATCTCTGAAACAATGATAAAAAGGGGTTATTTACCTGTCATCTTCTCCATCAGGGTCTTGCTACTCCCTCTCCTCCTATCTACAGTTGTACATACCTTGCAAGTGGTGGTTTACTGGAGAGGTGTACATACTAGCCTGAAATAAACTGGCTCAGGTTCTGAGTGTCCTCACTCTGTCTGGACTTCGATGGTTAAATTCGGTGTCACCTACAAATATAAATCTAAAATAGCTTTACTGGAGTGAAAGGAGTCACGATGCTGTTAATTTCTTTGTCTACTGTTCATGCTTCTGGTGGAATTCCACCTGCACTTCTGTAGCTTCTCCTTGTTCAGAGACATCTTTCTAGATTTCTGTTGGTGTTTTCGGTTCCCAAGCAAATTTACTAGTTAAAAATGTGAATTATGGCTAAGAACAAAAAGAGAATGTAATTTAAAATAAATGTGTGTGCCTGGGGCAGTCCATTCATTCCTTCCCCTGTCACATCTCATCTACAAAACCTGGGAGAAACTCATTTTTCCACATTGCCTTAATGCCCTGGTCTCCAAGCTGGGCTCTGTGTTCTAAACTGGCCCCTTTGGCACCTTCCCCCAAAGCAGGTGAGCCCGATGACGTGAGGTTCTCCTGGAGGCTCTGGTGGGAGCTTTGACGAAGGCCGTTCCTCCGCCTTTGGCTTGTGCCGTGGGTGGCACTCTCGGAGGTCCAGGCTGGTCTGGCACTCCCTTGAGAGTGACTGTCAGGGCTCAGCTCATCCCAGGACATGGCAGGGCGCTGCTCAGCCAGTGCTGCTCCCACAGCACCTGCACTACCCTATTGACAGAGAGGAGCACCCATTAGAGCTGATATTTGTACACAGCAGAGCCCTCCACTTGCAGGACAAAGGTGCAGGTTCTACGTGTCTTGGCCCTCAGTGAATGGCTCGCTGTCTAGCAAGTCTCACCCTGCTCCACGGCCACTTCCTTACTTGTTGGACAGATCCCTGGCTACATTCCATCTTCTTTTTCTTGGAGATTGCTGGATTCCAGTGACACACCAGGCTGTCATTTTGGACACTGTAATTCTTGTTACCAAGAAGCCAGTAGGTTTTCATTTTCCCTTTGCCCTGGGACAAGAAGAGGAGAGAGCAGAAACCAGCTATTTTTGTGGGATATGAAGCAGAGCAGAGAATCACTATGGCCAGGGCTACTACTTGCTCTGCATTTATCTCACCCTCTCTCATCGGTGGCTGCTGTTTGGGAAAAGAATTGTAATTTACATATAGTTGGGGTGCTAATAATTCAGTTCAGAGAAAGGTCTTGCTGGTCACTGACCAGTGTTGCTAAGGGTTTAAAACCAGTCTTACACCCATGTGTTGTTGTAACTGAATCCAAACACTGTCACCCATAGTGAAAGGTGTCCCTGCCCATGGCATGGGGGGTTGGAACTAGATGGTCTTTAAGGTCCCGTTCGGTGACATTCCTGTGGTTCCATACAGGTGCAGGCATAGCAGCTGTATTTTAAAGCACACAGTAACATTTTTTTTATCTATTAGGAGGAGTAATGTGTAGTCACTTCCAACTGAATTAGCAAAAGAATCATGGGGCCACGGTTAAAAACTGCCTTGCAATTCACAGAAGAGCAGTGAGCAAATCTATCTTATCTCCTTCCTGTCTCATTAAGCACCTTTACTGTTGCATAGTTACAGAAAAGCTCTTACCTTGACTTCAATTTCTCCTCTCGGTTCAATTTCATATGCATCATCTGTGAGAAGGGCATCATATGTAGCAGAACTGATGTGGATCTTCTGTGCTAGGAGTCAGAAGAGAGCATTAGAAATGAATAATTCCCCTATTCCCAGAGACCACACACCAGCCCTCCTGCATTTATCAGCCCAGTGTTTCCACCTCCTCTTTTGGAAAATGTCAGGTTGAGGAAGAAGCACAAACACAGCTTACCTTGTGCTACTTGGCTTTTGTCACCCTATTTCTTCCCTTATTTCTAGTGCTTTCCAGAAATGGCATAACTGATATGACTCTACTTGTCCACGTGAATACACAAGAGTTTCTCTCGCTTATTTGGTAACTATGTACACAGATAGTGGGGATTGCAGGTCACGCATGTGCTGGTTCTTTAGATCTACGGTAATTAGTTCTCTAGCCTGGGATATGCTGCAGAGAAGGCTCCTTCTGTACAAACCTTACTTCACACTTGGCCATGACCAGTGTGAGGGGTGTTGGGGGTTTTCCTTTCACTGCAGTACCCAAGAGACACAGAGTGAGGATGTGAGCCTCACTGGTGTGTAAGGAAGACACAGATTGTGCCCGAGTCACTTACGCAAGCTGGTGGACTCCATGCGGGAGGCTGTGTTTACGGTGTCCCCAAAAAGGCAATAACGAGGCATTTTGTACCCCACAACTCCAGCTACACAGGGCCCTGAGAAAACACAAGGCAGAGACACCCCAAGAAGAAACAAGTGGAAAAAGTGCAGGGAGATGCCAAATCCAGACACCTTTGCTAGTCACTGCAGATCCTCAGAGGGCAGTGGGAATTGGGAATACTCAGTCCATCTAGGGCCTGACTGACCAGTATTAACATAAGGAGAGAAGTCACGATTTGATTAGCTGTAGCTAATTGGTGCTGGGATCAGGGGAAGATGCACTTGGCCAATACTAAATTGTTTCACAGCCCTGATGCAAGCAAAAGTCATTTAATTCCACTGTCACTGCTGGAACTGAGAAAAATAGTCATCCCGGATCCTGCAGAGGGTCAGTGGCTCATCCAGAAATGCAGAATTCTCTTCTCCTCACATAATTGGACTCTGTCCTATTCTCTTTTTCTCATGCCTCCCCCTCAGCTCACGTACCTGTGTGTATCCCAGCCCGCAGCTGCAGTTTGCCCATTGGCATATGAGGGATAATGACCTGATGAACTGCTGCCACCAGATCCAGAGACATTTTGGCAATCTCATCAGCATGTTTGGTGCCATTCCGCTCTGGCAGGCCGCTCACTACCATGTAGGCATCGCCAATGGTTTCCACCTGATGGGAAGGAGCACGTGTCACTAACTGGCAGGCACCAAGCTTTTCTTTCAAAAGGAGATCAGAATAAAATCTCTCTCTGCTCTCCACCACTTGCCAAGCTGTGGAATAGTCCTGTGGGATGGTGGGTCTTGGATTTCATGGCTTTTGGCCAGCAGGCCTGGTATATTTGATATTCATTAGGGAACAAAGTAAGGAAGATTCCAGCAGCTTCCAGATTCCTTGCCTGCAGGTTTGTACTCACCTTGTAAACATCGTAAGACTCAATCCTGCTGTCAAAGCAGACGTACAGTTTGTTGAGCATCTCAACAACTTGCAAGGGAGTGCAGGAGGCAGCAATGCTTGTGAACCCCACGATGTCCGAGAAAAAGATGGTCACCTGTCACAGGGAGAAGGAAGTGTGAAGCTAAGGTCTCCAGGGCACAGTGGCAGAGCCTCTGAAGGGTTTGGGGATTTGTGAAATTCTGAGCAGGACGGCCAGAGGCATAGGCTGCATGTAGAACTAGTGTTGCAGAACTGAATAGATACAATGCCAGAGGAACAAGCTCTGGCTCTGAATTGCTCTCTATTACTTTGACAGATAAAATTGTGTTTACGTCCAAAGTTTGGCATCTGCGCTTCTCTGAACACCTGGTGCTAAATGGGAAACTGAAAGTCAAATGCCTTGAATCTTGCAAGCAGTGATCAACAGACTTCTATAAGAAGCAGGGCCTGATTTTTCTTTTAAAGCAATTTAAATTGTGGTAGAGATCAAAGCTAGGTACCTGAACAAACTGCAGAATAAAAACTCGACTGCTGTCTCTGTGCCTGTTGAATTAGGAAATATGAACTGGACTTTGTTTCTCTTCAAATGATTTTTATCTTATGATCAAGCAATTTGCAGAGAAATTCACTTTATGAAAAAATGAAATTTATAAAAGAAAGAACAACAGAAACCATAATAACTGAATTGAGGAAGGGGGATGTGTATTAGAGCTGTTGGCAAAGAATTAAGTGTTTCTTCTCTTTGCTGCCTGAACTTTGTCAGTGTTGAAACTGAAATTGTTCTTTTATTCATCCTTGGTAATACCAATTAATCTGGAAGAGTCACCTTTTCACTCCCTGCCTTGGTTCAGCTACTTTTGATGTCATGACTATTGTGAGTTATCATTAACTGTGCAATTACAGGTTGCTGTTTCGATAATGACACCTACAAATTAAATGCAAACATTTGTTATTGTGTTTCACAGCTGAAGGTAATGGAGCGTCCAGGGGAAAAGGAGTGAATAGAATTGCAATTACTTTAGCGTGAGGGTTTTGGCTGTGGGGTATGCAGCACAGCTGCTAAACTCAGCACTGACAGCAGCATGGATGCTGCGAGGCAGAGCTGCAAATAACTGGGTGCCTGGCCAAACTCTGCCCTTGGTTTTGTGGCGACAGGCTTTGTTACGGTTACGCTCTTAAGGCTACGAGGTCATCCGACCCTCTCATCCTTCTCTAAGTCCCGTGATCTCTTTCTGGTTGTGTTTATGGAATCATACTGACAAGTCAGACAGGATTTGTCCTATGTTGTTTTTTGGTGACTCTTTCACTTTACAAGGAGGACACTCAGCTCTTATGTACTCATGAGCTAATGATGCTGCCTGGCTCTCATGAATAGGCTCTTAAACCCAAAGAAGACAACTTGTCAATATAGGATCTCTGACATCTAAAGCTACGCTTCTGGAAGTTTCAACTCTTCTTCCTTCCCATCAGCCTAAGTGCTTCATGGCATATTGCACAGCTCTTTCCAAAACCCATCGTGAATATTTGGATTTCCATCCACACTCAGCTGTGGGTGCAAACCAGGTTCCTCAAAACGGTGGCAAGGTAGGTGCTGGGGTTTAGGTGAGTACTTTTCTCTCCTTGGTGTACAGCATCCTTTCTGTTTGCTAACCTGATCATAGTTTTCTGCCTCTACTTTTTGGCATTTCCTTAGCTGCTTGGCCACCGATTTTGGCAACATCTGGTGTAAGAGGTCCTCCGCTAGCCGCCTCTCCCTTTTCAAGTCCTCTGTCTTTTCCTTGAGGTTCCTGGCATAACTGTGAATCCAATCTGTCATTTGCTTGAAGGACATCAGGATTATGGGGTAAATGAGGCAGGCTATCACTAACAGACCGATCTTAAGGCTCATTGTGGACAGGATTTCTTTAGATTTCCTGAGGAGCTTTTCCTTTCCCTTCTGCAGCAGGCAGCTTTGTACGTAATCCAGTCCCTTTACCAAGGATTCCATGGACATAAATTCATCTGAGTCCAGGAATGGGATGAAAAAAGAGATTCCTTCATAGTAGGTGAAATGAAGTGATAAATTGACATTATCCACCCAGCACTTACGTACACTCTCTGATGAGAAGATAGCATAGTTTAGAATGGCAAAAAACTGCTGCAATGTTGTTTGAAAGCTTGTAGATGCTGGCATTAGATGAGCTTTGAGCATGGCTTCTCTTATTTGAAGGATGAGTTTAAAAGCTACTACGTCTGCCCGGTCAGGATCGTATCTCATAGCTTTGAGGTCTTCACGGGGGCTACTAAAACGCGCCAGCAGTTCAGAGATCACTCTGGATAGCAGCTGGCTGGCTTCACTATCCCCTGTGCCATTTAATTTTTGTCTCATGTCAGAGATGTAAAATCTACAAACGGAGCTTTTCTCCTTGCATTGGCAATTCTCGCAATACAGTTCTGCTTCGCTCGCCTTACAGAGGGAGTTTAAATTCCCCAGTAGCTGAGCATGAAATGATCTCCTCTTGTCGGCTGCTGGGAACAGCCAGCTGTGCCTTTCTTCCTGCAGGAGATAGATGAAGCGAACAGCCCAAAGGTTTTCACAAGAGCCAAGTTCCTGAAGAGCTTTCCCTGTGTTTCTCCATATTTCCAAGCTGTTGCTCAAATCAAAAGAAATGGCTCCGAGAAGGCTGCAGAGGGAGACCATGCATGTTGCCAAAATCCTTCGGACTGTTTTCCTACCGCCAGCACTGGAGGAGGGAGAACATCTGAAAAAAGGAAAACCACAACAAAAAAAAGGTGTGGCAGTGTCTGACCCCTGGGGTGTTTCTTGCAGCTCCTGAAAACATAACTAGAACTAGCAGTGATACTGAAGAACTCACGTGCGTTCTGAAATAAAGTATGGGGATCATGTGATCATGCCTTAGCTGAGTGTTATTGAAAGACATGTTTTACTGTATTTTTTTTCCACCTGACATTTTATTTTCAAAGAAAAGGTGTAGTAAGGAGACAGCTTCCATGACACACTCAGAGCTGCAAAAACATATGAATGAAATCATAGTTTTTCTGTGGGTATTAAGACTGATAAAATAACTTGCTGTAGGTTTTATACGCTATGGTACTTCCATCCAAATGTTAGAAGCCTGTGAAAAGACGGGCTACTTATTTCAGTGACGACAAACTGCAACTCTCGAATTTTTTTATAAACTTCTAAAATTTGTTCTTAACAGGATTTTCCAGCTGATTAATAATTTGTCTTGATATGTACAAATGAGCCCAGACGTTTCCACAATATTGTCTAAGTATTTCAAAAGGAAAATGAATCAAATTCCAATTCTGTTTCATTTTTTACAGAAGCATATACATATCCATTTATTTACTGTTTGAGCTTCATGATTGCCTCTTCTGCCCTTCTCTTTCACGCTGCACATAATTGACTTCCATGCTCCATAGAGCAAAGTAATTTGTAATGATTTTCATTTTCAGAACTATTAATCAATCATTTGCAATTTTACATTAATGATACTCATGAAAACAACTCAGGATGTTATGCTGAAGATGGTGATTCCTGAAAAACCGGGCAAACCTTATTTCCACTGGTAAACATTGTAGACGTGATTGAAAAAAGCCTTGCTCTTTCAGATAGGTGAAATCACGTTTCTAATAAGATAAATAAAACCCCAGTAAAGCCTGCTATTTCTCAGCAGGGGCTGATATTAGGCAAAACAAGTTCCATCTGGGCTGTCCGTAGCAGAATGGTGGACAGCGGTTGCAAAGTGAAAGGAAACATAATAAAATTACAGTCCTCAAAGATGATAGACAGCCATGTTTTCTTATTTATGTAATACAATTTATGTTTAATAATATATATTGATTTATTTTCAATCCAAAGGTAAGAACTGCAAAACATCTGACTGAAAGGAAATGCAAACCTAAAAAAATTAACTTCTGAACTCAGAAGCATTTCTGTTCTTATAGTGAACTTCCAGTTTTTCCTTACTCTAACTACTGCTTACCTTTGAGTTGCTTGTCCTCGGTTTTCAATCAATCATTTTACTTTTGTATCCGCCAAAATATGTGCCAGGAGGGAGAAGGAAAACACAACAAAAATTCACCTTGATTTTATACTGCCTACCTTTTATTACGATGAAAGAAATACAAATAGGGGCTTTAATGCAGTATCAGGCTAAAAGGTGGTGATTCTGTTCGTGCTGCGCAAAAAAGTCCCCATTTGTGTCTGGGCGTCAGCCAACAGTGACAGTTCAGGGGTCTTCACCTGGCATCTGAATGACTTAAGATGAGCAATGGGGACGTGGAGAGAGGTCTGCAGAGACACCACCGGCACTCGCTGCAGGATTTTACCCTTGCCTTTGCCAAGTCCCAAGATCACAGGGTGTTAAAACCTCTCTCTAAAAGCATTTTTTTGCAGCGCTCCCACACTCACCTGCACGGACCTGCTTGCCCCAGTGCTGCCTTCCCACTGGGCATTGCCACCGCTTGCTCGCAGGCTCAGGGGTCCTGCCAGCCACCCGCCTGCTGCCTTCAGCCCTGCCAGTGCCTGGCTTTCTCACCCCCTACCCCCCGAGTGGTTCCCATGGCTCTGGCTCTTCCCACTGCCCAGCCCCTTCACAGCAGGCTTGCATCTTCCCCAGAATGAGGGTCACAAGTTCCAGCCCCAGACAGGGGAAGGGCTGTAAAGGGTCTCCAGCTTTATCACTAAATACAGGCTCTGGTCTTGACAACGCCCAGTGACAGGGACACGTGGTTTTCTTTCATGTTGCGAAAAATAGTTTTTATTGCAGTATGGGTAGATATAATACTTGTGTTGTTAAAAGCATAATTTCCCAGCTCTTTGAGATCAAAGGTGTCGTGATTGTGACTTTATTCAAACTGTTTTCCTTCTTGGCATCTATCATCCAGTTCTCTCTGGATTAGTTGGTTGCCATAACCTACAAAAATGTGAAAGAAGTGAAAAATCAGATCATGAAACCCAGGAATTTGTGAATAGTATATGTTGCATCCAAGATGTAGGATTTAAATAACTAAAATAAGACTTTTGCTTCTCAGTCACTTTTTAGATTAAAGTTTATATTAAATTAAATAACAATTGATATTCCAGACTTGAGCAGCATGTGCTGCCTTCTAGGATGCAATTGCAACAGTCGGTGTTACTGATGAATGCAAACTTGAGTAATCACTCCTGAGGTCCTACTGGTAAAATTTTTACGACTATAAATAGAGTTCTAGTATAAAGGGAGAATAAATTCCTAAACATTGAGACATTTAAAAGTGAAAATAACTCGGATAACTATTTAAGAAGAGGCTACTTTCTTTTTGCTGCGGAGGTTGCTTTGCTGTGGTTAGGGCTTGGTCTAGAGAGGTTACTGGTATGTATAGTGGCATTTGAATCAAAAGTGATACAGCTCGCTAAGGAAGTAGCAGAAATGTCAATCAGAGAGAACCTCAAAAAGGGCCAAGAGTCTGAATTCTCTAGGAGCAGCACCTAGAACCTTACCTGCTGGATCCAGCTATTGTAAGCGGAGACCCGAGTGAAGACAGAAGGCTTCTGGTAATAATTGCAGCCAAAAGCAGAGCCAAAGCTGACTATACCATGTACTTCCCACCTGCCGTCAGCACCTTGGCAGTTCAGTGGGCCACCAGAGTCCCCCTGGGAGGAAAGGGCACACGGTTAATGGTGGTCACAGTGTGAATAGCTCCTCCTTGGTTTCCTTACTCTTTCCTTCCCATCAGGCCTGCTTGTGCCCGAAGCCAAGCCCTAAGGGCGATGTTCTCTAGACTCACATTACAGCTGGAGGTGATTCCATCCCCGCCAGCGCAAACCATGGTGGGTTTCACCGTGCTTCCCCACCAGCTAGGCTTGGAGCAAGTTGCGTAATCCACCACCAGCAGAAGGCCTTGCTGCAGGTCGTCTGGCAGAGCTCCGTTCGCTGGGAGGGAATAGAAACAAAGGAGTCATGGTACCAGCTGGCACTGAAGAAAGAACAAAACTGCCGTGTTAACTTTCTCCCAGGATCTGGGTACTCTCCCTCCAGGTAAGAAACTCCTGTATTAAAGGAGAGGCTGTATAATCCATGCCTTAGCTGCATTCTCTTATAGTAAAAACATAAAAAGGCCTTAACTTACTAATAATTTGTGTTCTGTTTAAAAATGTCTCATTATTAGCGAAATGCAGGGCTGCTCTTCAGTCAGGAGTTTGTAATTTACTTATCACTCTAGGAATTGCCTCTTGAGCCGGCCTGACACTTCTGCTGGAGTCTGAGGTGTTCTTCCTATTCACTTACGTGTCTTTTCAGTTATTCGGCGGGTATGTTAGGATTAGCAAATTCACCAGTCTGCACACTGTTGTTTGTGTCACAACAGCTTGGAAAAGCTTGGTACGGAGCCCTCTAGTGCTTTACCAGCCCTGTTACACGCAAACTAAACTTCAAAGGCGGGGAAAAATCATCCATCCCTGATAAACTGCCTCACTGCTCTGAGGCTGAGGGGGTCTTGAGCACCATCAGCAGCCTTTTCTCAATCAATCCCAAAGGAGAAGGCAGTACTGAAAGGTTTTGTTGAACAGTTTTGAAGATGTCCAAGTACTTACTCTGCAGTCTTCCCCACCCTGTCACGTAGCAGGCAGTGTTGGACAACAGGATGCTTTGGGCGGGGGGGAGGCAGGCCAGCCTAATGTGGTCACTCAAGGTGACGTGTTCTGCGAGTTTGATCAAGGCGATGTCGTACCTGTGGTCAGATGCACGGGTGTGGGAGTGGGGAGGAGAAAGGGAAGGGCAGAAGAGGTTTGCAAATAGGTTAAGAAACAGTAGCGTGAGTGGTTAGCAGTTATACAGCACTTGGCCTATTCGAACGGGATGCAAGGGGGTGTAACCAGTAAAGATTCCTCCACCCTCAAAGCAATGAGGAAATCAATGGGCTGGAAGACTGTTCCCTGCAGAATTTTCCTGCTGGGAGCTTTCTGGAAATTGCCTGGACATGAACATGCAAAATGGCATCTGAAAACACAGTTAATTGATAAGCAATTAAAATTGAAAGTTCTTTTATCTTCTCTTGAGGGGGGAAAGTACAAACTGGATACTCAACTCTGAGGCAACCTTTAGAAGTAGCACGGGAAGCTGTAACACGAGACTCTAAACATTAACCCGTTGAGCCTCCACGGCTCAGAGCGGGTGGGACTCAGGCAGTTTGATTTTAGCCCTGCATCTAGTAACTGAAAAAATACTTGCCACCAACTTACCCATTTGCAACATTCTGGGGATCCCAGTTCCCATTGACAATGATTTTTTCTGGAGAAAGTGCAATGGATCCTTGTTCCTCAACGGCTAGGTTGTATTTTCCAAGATATACTCGGTATTCCCTAGAAGAACTGGGCGAGAAAAGGACTAACAGTTACGCAGGCTTGCTGCTTAGGCATCTGCCACCTGAGATATTCAGTAAGAATGTCCTTAAGACTGTAATGTCACATCACATGGATGGTTTGGCTGGAGCTGAGCCCACCTCTGACTGATTTGCTAAGGACAAGGCAGTGTGTGCTAGGCTTAATAATCATGTCATCTCCAAGGCGTCCTGTCAACTCCCGCTTGAGGCTTCATTAACAAGCACACGATGCCTCCCATCTCTGCAGGATTCAGCTCGTATTCTTCAGTGAAGTAAACAATTTGGACTGCTCTTTTGACAGCAATAAACAGCTTCAGTGATGAACAGCTCTGTGATTGATATCATATGTAGGATTTGTAATAATAACATGCAGCCAATCCTTCCTATTTCATGTGACATTTTCTACAACTTAGTGTGGAAGGCTTTGATGATGAAAGGGCATAGCTGTACCTGATCACTTCTTTGTTTTTCTGCCCCACAGCATGAAGAGCTGACTGAAAGTGACGGGTTACCTGATGCAGTGCGCAGCTGTCATCACCCAGTTGGTTGCAATGAGGGTTCCGCCGCAGGTGTGGTACCATTTGCCGTTCGATTTGTATTGGAGGGAGGCCTAGGACCAACATATCAAGTAAGGCTCAGGTTTTTGCTTAGGGATTTTTCATTCTTGTGCTTTCTTCCCGCACCCAGAACACAACTTGCTGCTGGAAGATGGTGGGAGGCTTTTAAGCAACACATTTCCAACACCTAGGTACAGAAAAGGTTTCCCTCCTTCCCCATCATCCAAAAGCCACATTGTTTTTTAAATGTTCTTTCTTCCAAAGCTCTCGCTAAGCCTGGCCCAATTAAAGCATTTCATTTGCTTTAGAAATTTAGCTCCATGTGCAACTGTGCTGCAGTAGGCATTGTGTACTCCACTGAATTTCACAGTTGTCTTGCTTAGAAATGGGATGATGCCCAAGGCTACTGAAAGGACATGAAAGCCTGCATAGCCTGCAAGAGCTGGCACAGTCAGAGCTTTCTTATAACGACTGGAAACTTTGGGATTGATCAGAATGTAATATTCAAAACCTAAGGCATGGCAGGCTTGCTGGATTAAATGGGATACAAGACCTGGGTTTGTTCAGCCATGTCATGTGAGGGTAGCGCAACCCTAATTGTTCCAGGGAAAGCAAAAACCGACAAACCTGCCAGGGCCAGCTGTATGGTCTTGCATTTTCCCCCCCTACGACTCTAGACACAGCAGGTGGGTAGGCAGGAATCCCGCAGCCGAAGGCTAGAAGACATACAAAAAATGGGATGTGTGAAAAGTAAGAGGCATAAAAAATGTCTGTAAGAGAAGGTTTTTCCCCTAAATACAGACTGTGCACAGAACATTGCAAGGTACAAATACAGGCTGTGATTGAATGGGATACAAGTGAAGATAGAGCCATCAGTCAAAACTGACCGATGTCATATAAAGCCTGTTGGAACAGTTTCATTTTTCTGACAGATAATCAAATCAAGTTGGCTTAACCAAACTCTCATGCATCAGCTGGGATGCAGCTCTCAGCCATGCGTGTGGATTAACTGTATTTCAGTGTATTCAAGCTAAGTAAAATAACGTTGTGTTTGCTAAAGGCTGCAGTGATGCCAATCAAGCCCCTGTGCTAAGAACAGAATAGCCCAGCACCTAATTACTGTTTTGAGAGAACTTTTTAATTAACTGCTTATGGTGTATCTCTCTTTCGTTGCCTATTTTCCCTAAAAACTGAAAGTTGCTGTTAGATCTTAATTCTTTTCTCCTTAAAACTAATGCTGAAGCTGGGTACGTACCTGCCGCTGCCAGGCTCAACACGGCAAAGAGGATCGCAAGCATGGTGTCGATCAGCTGTGTGCTGCAGGCCCGGCTCTGCGAGCCGTTTTATTTGTTGTCGTTTATCGCTGGGACACGTGACTTAAAATGCGGCTGCTATTCTGATACCAATGGAAAACTTGTGTAATTATGGGATAATTTTTTATATGCACAAGTGCCTAAAAAAAAACAGTTTAGAAGGACCTTGTCTCCAGGAAATATAAACAGCTTGGTTAAGAAAAATTCCAACCGAGTTGGATATCACCTATAGCAGCTGTTTGCTTTCCCATTGCCTTGAAAGTTCGCCACAGAGGTCTTTTCAGGAGGAACACGTCAAATTAATTATTCTACCACTTGAGGGTATGTCAGCAGTAAGAGTGTCTGATATGTTCGGCCAGTGGTAGATTCAGACACCTCAGCGGCGTTGGATTAGACGATCTCTGGAGGCCCCATTCCAACCTTCATTATTGTATGATTCTGTGATGGCTTGAAATTTTATTTTGATCCATTTTGTGTCGTGACTGAACGGCAACTACCAGCGTGTGCTGACTGAAAACCTGTATCCTCTTCTCTAGTCCGTCGCGTGTGTTTTAGCACACCATACTTCTTCAATAAAGCGAACTGCAGTCACTTTGAAGTGGGAGATGTTTCAAGCAGCACAAAGAACCAGCTGTCCGTGACGAGGGAGAAAAACTGGTACAGCTCCGTGAGCCAGACTTCATTTCTTTCCTGTTTACCTCCAATTGCTAGATCAGTAGCACACCCCTGGAAGAGAACGGGGTTCCCGTAGCATTGCAAGGGAGCGTTTTTACACCCCGAATCAGCATGCTGACCTGTGGTATAATGCAGGGTGAGCTTGATGAAAAAGGGTAAACTATTTTCCTCAACAGGAAAAAACAGGCATTTAGAGCACTAAAGAGCTGCTGCCACAGAAGAAACTGTCCTAATTCATTACTGGACATTTGAGATCAATTACTTGATATCAACACTCGCCCTTGTGTCTCTTTTTTTCTTCTACTACAGGAATTTTCCATCCTCTGTCATGTTTCCATCTGCCTATCCTTCACCTGAAAAACTGTTACTGGTTATTTAAAAAACAAACATCTCTATCCCCTAAGCCGGGTCATGCAGAAGGACCAGGCTTACTACAACGGCAACACATAACGCCAGTTTTGTAACCAGAATTGCATCGTACATTCAGACCAAACCCGAGGTTTCAGAAGAGCTGAATCAAACCTATTGCTAAATGTCAGTATTAACAAGCAGCAAAATCCCCGATTTTCATCGCTTCCCTTCAGCAGTAGGTACTGATTTGGATGAAAGATGCCCAGAGCGCCTGCGTGGAAGGCAGAAACACAATGCTTTGCTGTTCTGTCTGCTTCTCAGGATTGTATTATCCTACCCAAACAATAGCACTTGAGAAAGCTGCATTCTGAATTTCAGATGGAATCAACCAAACTCTGCTCTGACATCTTGTATTTATTATCTGACAACAGCATCAATCAGGATTAACTGGCTCAGAATAGATTCTAAACATTTTGTTTCATTAATTATTTGGTTCTTCTTAATATTTGAATTTACAAGCTAAAGAACATCCTATGCTTTTCGGTTTAACTCCCCTGACACTCTCATTTTCACTGAGTATCAACTAAAAATTAAATATAAATTGTGGATGTTCAGTTACTATTTCAACATTCCTGTTCTGGGTGTGCTTGTAGACACAGAACTCTGTGTAGTTCTTTAAGCATTTCTGCAATCATTTCACAAATAACCTTCTGCTGTCTTGCACACTGTAAATAGAGAAACCCTAGTCTGTCGTCTTCCCTTTCCTTATAAAGGAATTCTGAAACAGTTTATTAGATGGGGGGAAGGCTCCTAAGAATCACATTTTTAATGTAAAACTCTGAAAATTTATTTTTTTGGTTCCACTCCTGCTTTATGTAACAATTTCTCATCCATCTTTTCCAGGTCTAGTGTAAACAGGCTTAAGTATCTTCCTTGGACTCAGTGGGCATCGTACTGCTGGCAGTTCTGCAAGTGAACATCAAAAGGCTCAGCCTCCAGCTGATATCCTGGTGGCTTGGAAACATTGGAACCACCGCGCTGGAAGCTCTTACCATCTTTGTGCCAGATGTTTCCCAGGAACAGTAAGAAAGAGCAGGAACTTGTGGTATGTTCTGTTGAAGCGCAATAGGAATCTCTCAGTACACAATGTACGTAGCGTACGATTAACGTACTCCGTTACTTCGCTACCTTCAGTTACTCCGTGTAGGGTAATAACTATGCCAGGCCGCTTACTAAGTGGAATGGGCTGCAGATAAGTAACAGACACTGAAATCTACTTGTCTGAGGGAGACTTTTCATGTGAAACCAGACAATAACTTATTTAAAAGTTCGAGGTTAAATCCTGCACCAGCTTTCCATTGGAAGCACCATTTGTGCCAAGATGGCCATTATATCCAGTACCTGACTGTTCGCTTCTGTGTGTTCTTAAAACTAAAGCCTCAAGATAGACCAAGGCTACGCAGAGACAGGGAAAGGGAGACTAGCACCCCCCTGTGTGCCTGTTACTGTGCCTTCCACGCCGTCTGTTTCCAGCTCAGGCCCATTTATGTGCTATTTTCCACGCTGTGTTTCCTTTTCATCCAAGCACTTTTGTAGTCAGCACTGGCCACGGATGTAACCTAGGCTCCGCTTCTTTTAACTGGGTGGGGAGTAAGGGGAGGAGGGAGCAGAGACAAAGAAAGAAAAAAAAAAACCCAACACAAAAAGAAAAACCAATCACACTTTGGTGATCAGATTAGACTGAAAGATATTTATTTAGAAACAACAGCTTTGGTATTTTAAAACCAAGCAACCTTTAAATCACTAAAAAGTGGGATGTCTACCCCCCTAGCCAAAACAAATCAATGCACAACGTCTCAATATGCTTAGAACAGGAAACCTGCAGATCAGCATTTCCAAGTGTAAATCCAGAAATCATTTAATTGGTTTTGCACTCTACAATCATAAAGGCTGAAAAACCTGTTACCAGCACTTAGATATCTACAACTGACTGACTTCTTACTGAAGTGGAGGCAAAAATTATGAACACCCTCCCTCTCCCCCCAAGCAATAAATTAAAAAAATGTATACCAGAAAGAAAGTTACGCTAAAGTTTTCTAGTTAACTCTCTGCAGGGAATCACCATTCTTTTTTTCCTGTAAAATTAAAAAAAAAAAATCAAAATATCAAAGGACTTGGTATATCTTCAAGTATTTTCACCAAATGGATTACTCTTAGGGAACGGAACAGCTTACAAGGAAAGAGAAACATCTGTTACACAAGCTTCTGGGATAAACGCTTGAATACCCACACCTTCCAAGTCTCCGATTCCTCTCTTAACAAGGCACAAAAGGATTGTTGCTTTCAAAAGGTCCTTGTTCTCAGCTGCAGAACTGTCAGATGTCTTGTGCAAACGGAGGCTGAAAGCAGGACTAAGTTCACTCAGGCGCTGGGACGTTCCCATTTAATGAAACTGGGTGTTGTTTCAACACCGTTCATCTCCCTTACTGCTACAGAGATTCTGAGCTCCAGCTGGCTTCCACTTCATCCCTGTTTCTGGAATCGAGTTCTGCATCATCTTCATTTTAAGAAGGTCCAGTTAAGGTGAGGCAAGAGGCTGGTTTGCTGTACACTGCAAGGCTTTCTGCAGTGCCCAGAAGAGGTGTTAGGTCAGCCCTGGCGCGTAGCTGTGAGGCCTCTCGGCAATTCCGAGCATAGTGTCAGGGACAGTTACCTGCAGCAACGGTTAACAAGTCATTCTGTAAGAGGCAGAAGGCAAGTCTCGTAGGTGACAAAGGCAACCAGATAGACAGCAGTGAAAAAGAGGACATAAAATTTATCATTTCAAGGACACGTTTCAGGATGCACCTCAGGGCACAGCTGTATAAACAATAATGGAAATTACTTCCTGACTGCTTCCTCCTTTTGCACTATGGTTTGATCACGATCACAGGCTTATAGCTGCAGTGGTCTGTGACACACCTATCTATTCTACCTCTTCCTAGGTTAGTCTGTCTGGCCACAAGCACCTTCCACGCTCATCCTCTCAATGGATGACAGGTAGTACGACCTGCTTGGGATCAGGCCTGCTCTCCAGTGCTCAGCCCTACAAAGCCAGTGAGCTGAGAGGGCAACTGCCAACTGCCTTTAAACACCCCTCCCACACTGACTGTCGAGTTCAGTCTAGAACCAGTCTCCAGCCTCAGCTATCCAAAACTGAATTTCCTCTTATAATTTGGAAAAAAACAGGTCAATTTAAGCTAGAACTTTCCCTCTGATGGCTCCATTTAACTACATCTGTTTGTTTTTTCTTTTCAAGCACACGCTACACTTAACTCTGTTCAACCCTAAGGAGGTGAACTAGGGGGAGGCTAGCCATGAACACCACAGCTAGCTCACACAGCAAATCCTGCCTCATCTTTCATTTCCACTCTTTATCAACACACATCCAGAAAATACCAGTAGTAACAGCAGATATTGCCATTTATTGTCTATTCTCTGCTAAGTTTTTACTAACAACTAAGTTTTCTAAGGCAACCCAAAACAAGAATTTCAAATCCCTTACGCCCAAGTGAGATGCAGTGGAGCTTGAAGTCAGAACCTTCAACTCTGAGTAAAACGCACCCAGTACTTTCCTTCACCCAGCCACGTATTTTGTCTGAATGGGCGAAACACCAGCTCAGCACTTTCCCCAAACAGTGGTGGTAAAGGTGGTTCCACGGAGGACTGCATCTACGAACATCTACCAGTTGCCCCACCGAGTCAGGACCCTGGCCTAAGAACACCAGCTGGCACTCGCGTGCTCTGTATGCCACATCACACCTCCAAACCCGGCAGACAAGTGCGTGCGTCTCCCACACAGCAGCAAAGACAAGTACAGCAGCTCTCTCACAAGCGTCCCGGTACCGCCTAAACAGAGACATCAGCTTGTGACACAGCTGCAAGTGTTGGCTTAAAAACAAGCAACGTCCTACAGCAGTGTGTGGAAAAGGACAGAAATATTGCGTCCGCCTTGATCTGCAGCCTTACAAATGCTTAAGGACAAAGATGACTTTTGTAATGTTTGTGAGCCCTACCATTCCAATCCTGCCCTAATCCTCCTTCTTGCAAGAAAAGGTCACAGATCACTTGTTGCAGGAAAGACTCCAAGTCCTCACAGTCCAAGACAAACCCTCCCTAGGCACAGCTGACAGAAAATCAGGTTGACAAGACTCAGTGGACAGCAGCCAAAAGCAGCAGCCTTATACCTTACTCCTGAAGAGCGGCTTGGCTCCTGGCCCACAATATTCGTTGTAGATGAGTTTGAACAGAAACAAGTGAAACAAAGTGATTAAGGAGGCCACGCTGAACCAGAACAAGAAGGGTAAGCCCGGGTATTGCTTGGCCATGTGTTCCTCGTGAGCCAGAATAGCTTTTAGATGGAGTGTGTGTCTCAGGTCCTGCAAGTGGATCAAATCTGTTGATATATAAAGCAGTGGCGTGATGGGCTGAGTCACCATGACAGGGAACGTATGACCTCGTGCCTCTGAGGTCAGCTCCACAGGCTCGTTCATACAGCCTGCCTCACACGCGTACAGTCTAACTGGCTTGTCTTGGAATTTCACAGACACATGCAGGAAGGGCTTTCCTTCAGCATCCAGCAGAACAGCTAGATTAATCAAGTCCTTATTGTAATGGATCCCACGTAAGGAATAGCTGTTATGAAGCACATCAGGGTCAGCCTGAAACTGAAGATGGTTTTCGGTGAACTGCAGACCCCCAAAACTAAGCACCATTCCCTGCATAAGGCCATGGACTCCAGCTGCCACGAGACCCTTGCATCCCCGCTTCTGGAGCGTTAGCTTCCACAGGTCTGAGAGTTGCAAGATCTGGGTGACACTGGTCAGCTTTGCTGGCCACAGGTTCTCTGCGTGCATGGTGGCGTGGCCACTGAAGCAGTGGTCAGCATAGTTCAAGCTGGCTTCCATTTTTTCTCTGTCCTCACCAGCAATGAGTGGATCTAGCAGAGGAGCCGGCATGCTTGACAGCACGTAGTAGAGGGTCATGTTAACAGTCTCGCTGGACGGCGTATGCGAATCTGTGATCTTTCTCATTTCAACCCCTGTAATAAAAGAAAACAACCCACAGTCAGAGGACCACACGTATATGACATTAACTGGGAGAAAAAGAAGATCAGATGTGCACGTCATCGTTCAGTACACCAGCGTTCTTTACGACATCTAAGAAACCTTTGCCCATGAAACACTGAAGTGAAATGTTTCCTTCTATTTCCTTAGATGCTCCCTCTGCCACTCGGAGTCTGAATGCCGAAGTTTGATATACGGATGCCTTATGGAGCTGTCACCACGAGTCCGCAAGAATGGGCAAAGAACATCTGACTTTTTACTGGCTACAAAACAGCACGTTCTGCATTACTTGGGCAGCTCCTCTTTCATGCAAGGCCATGAAAAATCTTATTTTAAGCAAAATCATCCTTGTGGGACAGTCCTTAACTTCCATGAAGGAATCTGTCCATTATTCTGTCACTAGAGGTCAACCCTATTTCCAACTTCAGGCTGACATGCTGGGCAAATCAGTAAAGTTCCTAAAGACATGAAAGCCAGCACATCCAGAGTTTCAATTAGAAATGTTCTTCCATCATTTCCTTTATGCTGTAAGGAATACTGCACTTTTATAGAGTCCGTTGGGTTCCAAACCAGGAACGCTGTTTTATTATTCCACAACATGCCTTCTGGCCTCCAAGAGAAAACCATCAGGAAGAGTGGAGCCTCTAGGGACCTTACAGCAACCAGGCCACTGAGCTTTCAGCTGCCCTCTAAAGGAACTCTTTGGAAGCTGAGCATCACTTTCCTTACCTGAAATGAACAGGTCTGACCAGGTCTGTTGGTGCTCCTGGAAAAGATCTTCCACCCCCATCTGCATCACCTCCAGCATCTCTTTCTTGGCCGACTCCCTCAGCTTGCTGAAAGTCTCCTCCAGCCTGGAGACCTCGATGGGCTCCGAGGTGTAGACCACAGAGAGCACGGTTTCGTCGAAGTGGGATTTGGGTGCCACTTGCACCCGGCTCACGAGCTTCTTGGCAGCCACCACCATCAGCACCACCTTGGGGCTCCCGGCCAGCAGCAGGCGACCGGAGGAGAGCAGGAACTGCCGCTCCTCCACCTTCTCCAGGCTGGTGGCGAAGCGGCTGCCCAGCGAGGGTGCGGAAGCCGGGGCAGAGGCCTCGAAGGCGGCCACCCGCTCGGTGGGATTGGCGATGCGGATGCGCTGCAGGTAGAGGTGCGGCCGGCTCCGGTGGGCCACCACCTCCTCCCGCACC